CTCTCTCTCTCTCTCTCTCTCTCTCTCTCACACACACACACACACACACACACACACACCCTTCACTGCTTTATCTGAAGTACTGCATATATTAGTCAAGACTTTTTCCTTCTCAAACCCTGAGGGTGGGGTGGGGCGAGGCAAGGAAGGTGAACGCTCTTCGTGTCTGAGTGTAATATATTAGCACATTAAGCCCTCACCAGTGCACGAGCGGCTGGAGTCATTATTTTCTCCGGTGTACACTAAGGGCAACTGGAAACCGAAAGCACAGGGAATGGCGTCACACGTCCAGCAAGGGAGAAGGCTGGACACAAATCACACACACCATGGGCATCTGTCGGGCCACCTGCAGAAAGGACTGGTCGGTGCCACACTCGCTACTGAAGCCAGAATACCTACAGATGTGGATAGCTGTTTTATATGTCAAATGATTAAATGACTGTTTCATGCTTTCTTTTCAAGAATTCCAAGGACCTGAGTACTACTAGCATAACTCTATAAACTACTTATTGGGCATTAAAACTGACTAGAATGGGATTTGTTTTTATCACAAACCTCACTTTTCACCTAAGAGATCTGTAAATGTGCTTTATTCACTTCCAAACTGTCAAATATCTTTCATCCTACCCACTTTTCAGGGAAAAACATATCATTTTCAAAAGCAGAACCTTAGGCAACATTCATCTTCAGTACCTAGATGAGCAGTCTGTTAAGGTGAAACATGGAATCTATTCTTTTCTGCAGGCAAACACTGTCCTAATTTTTCATTTTCTTAGTCTGAAAAGAAGCTGGGTGTGGTGGTACACACCTGAAATCCCAGCACTCAGGAGGCTGAGGCAGGAGGATCGTTGTGAGCTGGAGACCAGCCTGGACTACAAAGTGAGCTCAAGGCCAGCCTGAACTGCATAGTGGACCCTGGCTTTAAAAAAAGATGTGCTATGATAGTAAGTGCCGCTGAGCAAAATCCTTTTCAGAGTCCAGTAAAAAATACTAACCCTAATTACCACTGGGAGGAAGTGGGTTTGCACAGTGAAGGTGCCTCCGGGCAGTGGGAGCACCAGCGTACAGCCCCAGACTGCAGTCACCATCTGTCCACCTTTTCCTACATATTGGCTCAACTGAACATTCAAAGTGTCTCACGTACACTTTGGAAGCCTAACTAAAGTATAAATGCTAAGAGAAAAAATAAAAACGATGTCAGGAGCACAGCAGGAAAGCCTGTTTAGGAGTTTCATGAAGGCTATTAAATGCTCTGAGATAATAAAGATGGATCCAGGCATGCAACCTTGTGACAAACTGCCCCACAATTTAGATTTTATTTCTAAATCGCAGTCAAATGAAATCTGATCTAAAGTTTCTCTCTGTATCAAGCTCCCTCTGAGCCCGGAGGGCAGTTTCCTTACCCAGTCTCTCCTTCTATTAGGGTGAGTTAGCTCCAGACTCGAGTGTAAGAATCTAGCTGGAACAGGACTCATCTCAACGAGTTCTGCATCCTAACATGGTCAAACGAGCTCTCGGTCCACAGCATAAGTCCTTTATGAGTCTGCTGAATATGTGGTCACATACGTTAAGATGCATCCATAATTAAGCTAGCAACCAAAACATAGAAAGCAAATATCAAACAAAAACATAACTGTGACTCTTGTTACTCATTTGTCCAAAGACCTAAGTATCTACCTAGCTTTGGTTAAAGGCAGGGCCATGGGCAAGGGGCCAGGAAACCACTGTGCAGAGACAGAAGCCTGGATTTCTCCTCTCGTGGAACACAGAGTCAAGCAGAACAGACAGAAATTTTAAAAAGATAACATGATAAATATTTAATAAATTCTATCACAGCAAGTTCTGAAAGACAGAGGGCTGAAGGAACCCAGTTTAGTCTGATTGGTCAGGAAGAATTTCCTGATGGAGCAGGAATGGGAGAGAGGCACAGGAGTGGGCAGAGTGGGCTGAGGGGTTCAGTGCGCACCTGTGAGGGAGGGACGGGGCAGCAACTCCAGGCTGGCCCCGGTTCTCTAACAGTTCTTACCCACACTGTTCTTACCCACATTCTTTCATCTGAGAAGCATTCAATAATTTCACCAGCAATTATAAAATACCTTCTGGATACCATGCAACCCAGTGCTTATGCTGTAAGAGATCCTGCCATAGAGGGGAGAAAAGCACAGGATGACACGTGACATCCTGCACGGTAGATGCTGTACACTGCTACACACAAGGGCAGCAGGAGAATCCAGTGGGCAGCCTGTTCTGCCTGGAGCCTGGGACATGTCTCAGCAGGAGCTGAGATCCGCCACACAAGAGGGTGAAAGCTCAGTCAGCCAGAAGAAGTGCCCGGCAGAAAGGAAGGCAGAAAGCAGGGCTGCTATTCCTGGAACAGCAGGAGGCTGGTGTAGCCAGCCTCTGTGGTCAGTCTGAGGGAACAGGAGTGTAGCGGGAGGCACCATGAAGATAAATGGCCACGGGAGGAGGGGATTCCTTTGTGACAGTGAACGTGTTCCAAACTGTGGGAACATACTAAATATCCATAACGCAAAAAACAAATGAGCTCCAAAATTAGTTACGTCATTTATTTTAAAAGAGTAAGTTCTCTAATAACTTAATCTTCTACTTCAAAATAATGGGGAGAAAAGAACAAACTAAACAAAAATCCAGGAAAATTTGGAGTACAACAGAAATTAAGAAAAAATGGAGAAAATCACTGAAACTGACAAGTTGTTTCTTTGACAACATAAATCAAAGTGATAAAAGCTTAACTGGATTGATTTTTTTCTATAATTTCCCTCTCAGTGTGTTTGTTGTCTGTGTAGAGGAATGCTATTTTTTTTTTAATTTTTTATTTATTTGTGTGTGTGTGTATGTGTGGCCAGCTCAGCCCACCAGGGGGCGGGGCTGGCTGGCATGTGGTGCTGGGGGATTGAACCGCGGTCCCTGTGCTTTGATAAGCTTGTTCTAAGTAGGTGTTTTAGACCACTGAGCCATCTCACCAGCCCACTAGATTGATTTTTAAAAGTGAGATGACTCAAATTAGAAAAAGCAGGAATGAAATATGAGACATTACTACTGACCTTACAGAAATAAAAGGATTACAAGAGACTCTCATGACCTTATGCCAAATGACAATAATTTAAATAGCTTAGATGGAATAACCATAAATTATGAAAGCTGACACAAAGAGAAATAAAAATATGCATAGAACTATAACATGTAATTAGATTAAAATGGAAATCAAGAAGAAAATAGTCACAAAGAAAACTTGAAGTCTAGATGGCTCTATTGGTAAATTATGGACAGTCTCTAAACAAAAAGATATGTGCTATTCATAAACTTTACCCCCAAAAAAATGAAAAAGAAAAAATATTTATCGCTCTATAGATATGGCTTTAATTCTGATGCTAAAGTCAAGCAAATACATCATAAGAACACTATAAACCAATGTCTCATAAGAATACAGATACAAAAACTCTCAACAAAATACTAAAACTACTGGGCTGGCCAGAAAGCTCAGTGGATAAAAGCACCTGCTTAGGCAGACATAGGGACCGGGGCTCACTGAGACAGGGATGGAGTCTGGGCTGTAATCCCAGCATTTTGGAGGCTGAAAGAGGTGGATCACTATGAGTGGGATCTGTGTAGTGAGACCCTGTAGACCCTGTACTAAACACATTTTAAAAAATACTAACAATACTGAACCTATGTGTAATGGTTGATGCATTGTGTCAATTTGACAAGTCTAGAGGTTTACGTAAGTGACCGAGCAAGGGGCCAGGGTCCTGTCTTTGTAAGCATCCTGAACCTGTGCAAGAAGAGTAAACAGAGATGGTGAGAGCCCCACACCTGCCCTGGGGGTGGTAGCCTGAATACACCACAGGGCAGGAAGAGAGGCTTTCTCCCGTCCCTCCTCCTCTCACTGCTTTTGCTGTCTTCCGCTGCTGCCTTCACGTGTTGCCCCTGGGCCCTGCCACTCCTGCCTTGGAGCCAGCTGATCACAGACTAAAACCTCTGCAATCCGTGAGCTAATTATATCTTTCCTTCCTCAATTTTGGGTGTCAGGTATTTTGTCTCAGATCAGCTATTTTGTCTCAGTAATGAGAGAAAGCTGATCAAGGCACTATGAATATGTAAAAAGGATTGTACAATGTATCAAAGTGAAAGTTATACCAGGAATGCCAAGTTGCTTTCACATTTAAAAATTGAATAATTTGATATGCCTTATCAATAAAATGAAAGCCAATACGACAATCTCTGCATTTGCCCCCCAAATGAAACAGTTACAAAAATTCAATGTCCATTTGTGACACACTCATTCAGGAATAAAGGGGAACTTTTTTTGGCACATTAGTCACTTTCTAACACTGCGGCAAGTCAGTTTGGCTCATGGCTTTTGAGGGTCCAGTCCATGGGCAGCTGGCTCCAAGGGGAAGGGAGGGAAAGGGGGGAGGGGTACAAGAGGAGAGGGTTGAGGGAAGAAATGGGGGAAGGGGAAGGGAGGAGGGGAAGAAGGTGAGAAGAAAATGTCACAGCTTGAAATGGTCAGCAAGCTGGC